ATCTCGGCGTCAATGACAACCATGTTCCACCGTATGTTTGGACGACGGAGGTCTCCTGTGGAAGGGGAACCCAACACAGACTCTGGCACGGAGGCCACAGAAGGACAGGCAGACATTGTCAACAGCGATGATTTCGTCTTGATAGGTGAGATTTTCTTCCTTTCTTTCTTTTATTCTTTCTTTACAAGGAATCGGAAACTCGGGCAAGGTCATTTAGGGCCATTAATTGGTGATAAAGCTCTTGTGGAACTATGTATGTATAAACAAAATTTAACAAAACTAAACTGCAGTGGAGGATACATGTACAGTTGGCATTACAGGAAAGTCTGTAATATCTGTCTTATCAGGATATAAGTGGTTAACATCTATTAACCTGTGCTGGAGTGGTGAAAGGGAGGCACAGTGATCACTAAGTTACTGCAAGTATAACTATAATAAGAAATTGTGGGGTTCCTTACTTTCTCTAAGTTTTATTTTGTATGTAGCAGTTGCCCTTTCATGCATTTTTTAATTCCTAGTATGATTTTTGTATCTTGCTTTAAATTTTATATACTTCTCCAGAGAAACTAAAATATTTGGAGAGATTTGATAAATGCTTTGAACCAGTCCTATGTTAGACACAGCCACATAAGACATTACTTCTTTTTTTTTTTTTTTACTGTATGATCACCAGTATGTATACTAAAAAAAAAAAAAAAAAATCTTTTATTCAAACACATTATATATAGGAAGAGAGAGAGAGCCACTCAACTTTTTCTTATATAATAAGAGAATGGCAATTACTTTAACTTTAAACAATAACCAGGGAATGTATTATGTAATTAAATAAATTGCACTGGACAAAATGCTAAGCTCTTTAAAGTTAAACTTCCATGGAATATAATAATTTCTATGCACCTGCAAACATGTCAGACTAACTCCCTATTTTAAACTTTTCTGGCATTTTTAGGTGACACTGAAAGTCAGAAAACCACAATGTATGATCCCCCTCCTGGCTATACTGTCGGTGGGGCTAATGCCTTTTTACCCTATGGGCTAGACCCCTCTGCGAGACCAGAAGCTGGACAGAGGTAAGGTGTCATAATTTGAGTGTTTTATGGCAAGTTAGAATTTAAATTGACTTGTTTATTGATAATTGTTTTCATTGTTACAGTAAGTCCCCAACTTAAGAACATAATGGGGACCGAGAGGCTGTTCGTAAGTTGATTTGTTTATATGTCGAAAGTTGGGTCTCCATTACCTTTTTTCCCATTGTTTTAAAGTATTGTTTACATTAAGAATACCTGTAAATAAATCCCAATAAGTACAATATACCTTATACAGTACCAGAATCTTGAACTATATTCGTGCTTCTTACATTCTCAGACCAACAAGTGCCGAGGTTCAGACAGCAATAGACGGCATCCCTTTTAAACTGGGATCCAACGTCCTGTTACAAGGAGACTTGGACAGCTACGACATCAGCTCCATTTCACAGATGATCCACAGAATCAATACCTTTAACTGGGATGAATATGAATACAGCTTCCAACTGGAAAAGAGTGTTTTGCAAGAGTTCAGCACAAGAGAAGAACCAGATCCTGAGTAAAATTTAGTGATTTATTTATTTATTTCTGTCTTTTCCTTTTTTGTTTCCTGTTTTTTCTTTTTTTATTATTTCCCTTTTGAATAATGTTAATGCCAACATTTTTCTTTTACTGTTATTTTTTCTGAATATCACACAAGTCCTAGAATGGAGTATGCATACGTATATGTAAAAATAGTGGTATCCAGTATAGACTGAAATATGATCATATATTCCTCCATTTGACCAGTATCATTTGCTGTACTTTATTTTTAGATTTCACAAAGCTGCATTTCAATACTCATTAGAATACGTATCTCTTGACTGTTAGAAAAAAAAATAATTGGCAGAAAAATCCGCTGCTATTGTATCTACATCAATGGAAAGTTTTGCCATTTACATTTTTCTCTTTAACTTTCTCATATTTTTTTTTCTTTCTTGTTCTTTCTTCTTCTTCCTCCTTTTTTTCTTTGTAATCATGATCTTAATTTGTTTTTCGTTTATTAATTTGTCTTTTGTTCTCTTGTCCTTCCTTTACTAAATAGTATGTCATCTCTTCAAAATAGAATAAGGTCTTTGGAATAGCTTGTTTTCCAATTTCTTCAAATGTTATACAATTAACCCATTGCCGACAGGGAAAATGAATAAAAAATGGGGAGATGCTGTGCTCAGTTTTTATATTCTTTGTGAGATGTCTCTACACATAGATGGCTCTGCCTTACCTGATTTCACCTTTCCTTGAATTGACAGGAAAATGTACTTTTTACTAGTGCTCTGAATATCGATGGCATTTCTTTTATTATAAACATTGAATTAATATAATGTTATAAACATTAGTAGTAGCAAAATAAGATAAAGTAAAATATTTTCGAAAATTAAAGAAAAGAGTGAACAGGCAAGACAGGCAGTACTCGTAATTGGTGGTTTAGTACAGGTGTAGCCATCTATGTGTAAAAACGATCAAACAAGTAAACTCGCAGTGGGCATGCCATGTACGTACATGCCATGCCCATCGGGAAAGGGTTAATATAATTCATATGAATATTCTATGTAGGCTGCATATATTAATATTAATATACAATTAATATGATTTATATGAATATTCTATGTAGACTGCATATATTTATATTAATATACAATTAATATGATTTATATGAATATTCTATGTAGACTGCATATATTAATATTAATATCAATATTGTATATGAATATATATATTTATGGAATGTGAGCATTATATATTGATATCAATATTTATATGAATATTATATATTTGTGTTAATATCTACAGGAATATTATATATCAATATCAATATTTTCATCAATATTATACCCTCAATATACTTAATGACAACAATTTTTTTTCTCCCTCTCACTCACTCTACATCTAGACCAACACTTAGTAATATACCCTTCTCAGGCTTATTATAAATAAAGACTTACATTTTATACCCTTTATACAATGGTCTCCACATGATTCTCCATAAAGAGAATTGCAGCTCTTACACAATGAGTCTTCTCTGGTAGTTTCTAGATATTAGAAAGAGACGTGTATAAGGTTTTATATATGTATATATATGTATTGTGTGTATGTGTATGGGTTTGTTTGTTTGTTTGTTTGTTTTCATTTGTCATAGATTTTGACATTTTATGCAGTAACAGATTTTTTATTGTTGCCTTTTAACTTGTGTAAATTGACATAATAATTTTGATAAATATTCTCATCTCGTTGTGTGATGCTTCAAGTAAGGTCAGCTTGCCTATGAGTTCCCAGTACCCTGGCTTTATCTATTTTTGTCTCCTTATAGTACTTAATTTCCCATGATTTGTAAATAACTAATATATAAAGGGAACCAAATAGATTGCAATGGTTCATATCAGAGTAGAATAAAATTGTGTTTAAAGGAAAAATCAGTCTTGTAAACTAAAAGTTAACTCACTTTAGGTTAATTGTGGTATTCATTCTATGGTAAAGAAGCAAAGAGAGCTTGTCATGGAATGCGAACATGAGCTGACATCGAATATAAGCCAATGGATAGGTTGTTTAGAATAGTAGAGATTAATAATAACTTTTGTAATGTTTTCTGTACATATACTAATAATATGTTTCACTGAAACTCATATGTGTTGACATGCATTATATAGATAGAGAACAATGCAGATTTCCACCTGCTCAATTCATTCTTTAGTCAGGTTATTTACCAAGGCTTTATGTAGGTACGTTTACATATATATTACTTATGTTAAACTGTTGTACTGGCACTAAGCTGCATTATAGGATCCTTTTTAATAGGTCTTTCTTTTTCTTGTAAACATTTAAAAAGGTCTAGGACCCATTCATTTCTTTTTTTTAGCACCCATTCTATTTTGGGGAATGTTAACCCAATGCCACCAGAAACATATAATGTTCACTGTAGTTTTGTTTTGTGCAGTATCGTAATTATAGATTACTCCACAGATACTTAGCCACCAAGGAGTCAGTGGGTAGATATTGTGACCTCTCCTTGTTTTTCTTTTCTTAGAAATTTGATTTGATGCTGATGATATTATTATAGATAATAAGTTTCATAACAAGTATTGACCCCCTTACTAATAGCAGTACAAGCTAAAAGAAAATATTTCCAAAAATCAAGGAAAACGTCAAACAGGTGAGATACACTAGTAATTGTCTCCTTGGACTCCTTTATAACAAAGTACATGTGGAGTCATTTGTGTGTAAAGAAATTAATAAACTAAACTCACTGTTGGCATGGCATGTATGTAAATGCTGTCTCCAGCATCACTGGGTTAAAAAGAATGTAAATTTATACATATATGTATCATGGGATTACTCAGGTTCCTTTTGCTATATAAATAATTTTGTTATTAGTATTTGGGATAAAAATCTTGGAAATGACTCAAAATGGATAGCCTCTCAAGGCAATATTGCAGTCTATCATCTGCTCTGGAATAGTTGTCAAATGATTTCAGGTCATTACATTAGAACCCAGTTGTTGCTTGTGTGTCTAACTTAAGCCTATGATTATATTCCTCATTTTATATGGGTGAATCAGTTTTTAGTGCTGTAACTGTCTTTTGGGTCTACACATTTCAAGCCTTTCTTTTATTGTCTCATATTTTCAGAACAATTAGGTTTCAGAATCTAACTCTTAACATCTGAAGAAAGCTATTGTAGTGGACTTTTCTCACAGAAAAGGAACCATATAATTTCCATTTTTTTATTATCTCAAAGAATAAATGATTTTAAGCCAACATGCCCATACTAATTTTCTGTCGCAAAGAAAGCAATTGTAACTTACACAACCCACTGGCATTGAGAGGGCAAATATACTATACACTGTGATTTTAGTTAATTGCTTCTGTTTACACTTGGGAATTAAGAACTCAATTGATAGGTTACCTTACCTAACCTGAGAATGCCATTCTGTAAATTTATTTATTATATATATATTTTTTTTTTCTTCTTCTTTTTTCTTTTCTTTTCTTTTTTTTTCCCCTACTACATTGAATAGTGTTACTATTACTTTTCTCATTATTGACATTCTTTAATGTTATTAACAATATTAATGCCAGTTAGAGAAAGAATATGAGTATTTCCAAAAATCAAGAAAAAGGGTAAACTAGTAAGATAAGGTAGGAATAGTAAATAATTCCCAGGTGGCTAAGCCCATGTGGAGCCACCTACGTAAGAACAAAATTCGTGAACTAAAATCACAGTGGATATGGCACGGGTATTTACCTTCCTGGCATAGACTGGTTAATTGATAATGCAAAATATATTTTTTCATTGCTCTTATTAGCTCCCAAGGGCAAACACAAGGCCCTTGAACACTGATTTTGAAGCATAAGCAAAGTATTTTATGGCATATTTACATCTTAATGCCAAGTGCTACTGAATATCTTAACACTACAAGATCATGATGTAGGAATTCATCTGTATGATTTTCACTTTTTACTGATATGCAAAGGTACAAAGATAGATGCATTTTATGGCTGGTAAATTGCCAATGTGGTTGTGCTGAATATATTTTTGAAATGTTAAAAAAGTACATGTTAAATAACTCTCTCTCTCTCTCTCTCTCTCTCTCTCTCTCTCTCTCTCTCTCTCTCTCTCTCTCTCTCTCTCTCTCTCTCTCTCTCTCTCTCTCTCACACTCACTCAGTCACACACACACACACACACACACACACACACACACACACACACACACACACACACACACACACACACACACACACACACACACACACACACACACACACACACTCACTCACACTCACTCACTCACACACTCACACTCACTCACTCACTCACTCGCTCACTCACTCACTCACTCACTCACTCACTCACTCTCACACACACACACTAACTCACTCACTCACTCTCACACACACACACACTCACTCTCACACACACACACACACACACACACTCACTCTCACACACACACACACACTCACTCTCACACACACACACACTCACTCTCACACTCATTACATTGATTGGTCAAAAAGCATGTGTATAATGGCTTTAAATATTTGAAAAGGGCAAAAAAGAGTAACATTTATTGCACGGAATCTGTGAGGGTTCATGAAAATGTGAAAAGAATATATGGATGTATCATGTGTGTAATTCTTTTGCATCAGTTGTTTCACAGACATGCACATAATTCGGGCTGTTATCTTTGAAAGAAGACAAATAGAGATTATATTGTTATATTGATAATACATTTTATATTAGTGTATCATTTCACATGTATCACCTTTGTAGTCACCTAAACACATCTTCATTTTTAGCATCATTACCATTGTTCTTGCCATTTAAAACGAAAAAGTTGCTCTTTACATTGTACTGAGAAGAGCTATGTATGTTATAATGTTACAAAACTGGATTTGTAAAATAAAGAGTATATATATTAAATTCATTTTTTTGTTTCTTTTCTGCCTTACTTTTTTGAGATAAGGGTTTTGAAAGGAGATGAAAGCAGTTAACCCTTTTATTTAAATAATCACACATCTTCACTAATGAAAATATTAATCCATTTGCGACGGGTAAAAATTAACAAAAAATCTAGTATTTGCTGAGCTGTAGAAGTGTGGGATCGCAAAGTCAAATAACAGGTCCAAAGACTGAGTAACCATTTCTGAGGAATGTCCACCCCCTAACCCCCAGTCCCATGCCTGGTGTTGCCATGGGGGGAGGGGGGGTGGGGGCTTAGGAGACTGAGACTGCTGGGGATCACCCAAGGCTTGGAGCTCTTTTCTTCTGCCACTCTCCATTTCTTTCTCTTCTCCAACCTCTTCTACCGTCCACTTTTGAAGGCGTGCAAGTCACGTTGAAAGGATGAAGGGCTGGCTTTGTGCCAGTTATGAATGGCCTGTGAGTGTGTAAAACATATATATATATATATATATATATATATATATATATATATATATGTATATATATATATATATATATATATATATATATATACATACATATATATATATATATATATATATATATATATATATATATATATATATATATATATATATATATATATATATATATGCGTGTATGTGTGTGTGTGTGTGTCTTTGTGTATATATACACATACAGATAGATAGTTAAACAGATAGATACATGTAAAACATTATATATGTATGTGTATGTATATATATACATATACATATATATACATGTAGAGAGAGAAAGAAAGAGAGAGAGATACATGTACATATATACATACATATATACAAAGCATTCTACATTGCATATATATATATATATATATATATATATATATATATATATATATATATATATATATATATATATATATACATATATACATACATACAGCTCTCTCTCAAAAGATAAGACGTAACATATCTATCTGTCTATATAAAGCTAGTTAACAAAGTATTAGATTCTCACTGTCTCTGGTTTAA